AATTTAGAGTCTCTGAAATGCCATTTCCTGGACTGTGGGGAAGATTTGACAGATTTCTGATTGTCAGAAAACAGCGTTTTTAGTATGTGGAAATTTAGAATTCAGTAGTACTAAATGGACGAAGGTGTATTTAATTAACGATATATTGGATAAGTTGCAAGAAAGTATGGGTAATATCTTCATTCTTTGCAGTTTGTCATGGATTAAATAGTAAAGGTCTGCATGAGTTTGAAAAATGAATGACCCTACGGCCCTGGAGAGGGTCTGGGGTTTTCTCCCCCAGAAATATTTTGTATTTTTCTACCCCTATGACTGCAATTCCCTGCATTTTCTGAAACAGATTTTTGGATATACAGCATTACATTATGCTGTAGATAGACTGAACCTTCAGTTAAGTACTTGCATAGTATGTTTATGTAGATACCACAACTTGGCCGTCACGTACTTAGGGAGCCAGCTTGATAAACTTAGAGTTCCCGACTCCTACAAAGCGCCACCATGGTTGGCACAGAGCGGAAAATTTTTTGAAAATTTTGCGTCTCTAAATCATCGGAAATGGCATTTTCAAAGTCTTCTATACGTCTTTTGTTTGGCCCTTTCATTAATTCGTTCATTATGATTTGTGAGTCTATGACATCCGCGAGTCAGGATGGATTATTACGAGAAATGTTATCAAAATATCGATTACAGATATTTGATTATATGTATATATGATTTCAAATACTTCTAGTTTCGAAATCAAATTAGGTGGGTTTTTTTGGTGGGGGCCAAAATTATCCCCCCTTCCCCTTATAAAACACTTGGTTGAGGGCCTGTTGCCCCCTGCGGTCACTAACTTGTCCAACAACTCAAATCTATAGGGTCTGGGTAATGCAATCCACTGCCTGGGAAATGTTTAAAATCTAATAAGGTATTTATTAAACATAAAAGACAGGACATAAGATTCACAAAGCAAATTTCAGTTACTAGAATATCAACCCTCCCTTCTAAATTCCATGTTTTGCTTATATTTTAGAGAAAAGGGACTTTGACTGGGGGGGCCAAAATGGTTGAGTGGGGGGGCCACCATGGGGGCTGGGGGGGCTTTGGCCCCCCCAGTTATATAGTTAAAAAATGCCCTGGCTTTTTGTCAGCGAAATGCGAAATATTTCGCCTGTTTCTTTTGAATTGTGAGCAATCAAGTAGAAATAATTTATTCGAGTGGTCGCAATTCAAAAGAAACAGGCGAAATATTTCGCATTTCGCTGACAAAAAGCGCTCGTGGAATCAGGGCTTGACTAAGATTTTTTATCGGATTCGTATTTGCTCGTTTTTTTATCCATTTGGCATGAAGAAGATGTCATATAGCATGATCTTTCCGAATGTGAAAAAATCTCGTTCATACTTAGAGTAATTCAGATACAATTGCGCGCTGAAGTTCGATTACCTTTTTTTTTATACACCCTGTATAGTATCAGGTTACGATTCTGCGTTATTCGAAGTGTTTTCGAGTCGAATCTTTTGCATTTTGACGATGTATTTTGAAGAAGAAAGCTCAAGCAATGAAGGAGATGTTATGGAAGCGGTTGTGAGTTCATTGATAGAAGAAAGGGACCTGAATATCGACTTGGAAGAGTGCGTTAACGAGGGAGTCGATGAGTGTAATCTCACTAAAAGTTTTCCGTGTGGGCTTTGTTCGAAAATTTGTAAGTCGAAAGGTGGTCTTACTTTACATACAAGGGCAAAGCATGGTGAGAAAACGGCCGTTACAAAGTCGGTTTCGCCATTGACTTCGGAGGTCGTTGGTGAAATCGTAGACAAAGCAACACAGTCCGTCGTAAAATCGAAATTGTATGGGGACGCAATGACGAAATTGTTTGGTGAAGCTGACCTGGGCATCTAAAGATCTTGTGAAGCATTTGGCAACTTTGTATACGACCAATGTTGCGAAAAGTTGGATAGAGATAAACTCTTAAAAAACTTTTACAAGCTTATGCCTGAAAGTGGGAGGATGTTTAAAACGGAGTCGAAGAATATGACTGCCCCTGCATATA